GCTCTCCCCAGAACCCCAGGGAAACCATCCACCGTGGGGCTTTGAGGGACGGGCTTAGCAACCGTATCTGCTGTGTCCTACAGATGAATTCAGTACCCGTACGCACTGTGTGTTACGTGTGAACTTAGTAACTGTGTGTGGTCCTGGTGACCTGTATTTAAAGTTTCCTCCATTGTTCCAATAACGCCACTCGTGGCCTTTTTGGTCTGATTTGGGTCCAGCTACAGGTGAAAATTTGTCTTCAGGTGTCCTGTACTAGGCTGACATTTCGGGAGAGTCCACGTACTCTGTAAAGTGCCCTGGAGGTGCAGGAGGGCTGCCCCCTCAGGAGAGACGTGGGCGGTGCCCCCCGCGGGGCCCGCGGGGCCCTCGGGTCGGGCGTGTGTCCGTCGGCGTGGAGCCGGGCCATCAGTTGGGGTGGTGTGATCGTGTTGCCTGCGGACGTCAGTGCGAGGTCTGGGGGCTGTGTTGTTCTTTCCATGAATGACGGGCATGAGGGTTCAAGGGCTGGATGTGCAAAAAGCCTCAGAGGTTTCCACATGCGTCCTCTGTCCCGTGTGGCGGGGATCCTGCCCCCAGCCCGGGCACACCCGCCCTCGCCTCCCAGGTCGGCCTGGGTGAGGAGTGTCCCCTCCCTTCCCCCTGCAGCTTCACTGCCAGGGATCCCAGGGGCACGACCCCCATCCCTGCAGCCCGTCCTGGCAGGGCCTGGCAGGATGCAGCACCTCTCGGGGGGCGGAAACTCCACACTGGAGTCGGGGGGAGGGCTGTCCCCACGTGGTGGCCTCCCTGTGATGCCGAGGGGCCTGCCACACACCCACCAGGGGTCTTCTCTCGGCAGTGACACCGGTGTGTGTGCAGCCAGTCTCCTTGGGCCATAGCCACAGACAGAGGTCTGTTTCTCTCCCTGTCCCTCTGTGAAACGCAGCTCTGCATCCACAGGCTGGGCTGGTCACTCAGCAGATCTGGCTCCATGAGAGGAAGGAAGGCTCGCTGCGGGTGAGTGCGACAGCGGAGACGTCGGTGGTGATGCAGCAGCAGACGGGACAAATGTATCAGCTCTTTGTCTCCCAAAGACCTTTAGGATCTTGGGAGCACCCTCTCATCAGTTAAACGAGAATGGACGTAACCCATGTTCATAACAAGAAGCTCCTAAATGCCAGACTAGAGTTCAGAGCCCAAACCTAACTGGTGAGCAGGCCAGTATTTAAAGGTCATTGGACACGCTCACCATTAGACACCCAAACAAACGAGGCCCAGTTTTCATATTCACAGTGGAGGCTGAACAAGCAGTGAAGCACACAAGGAATGGCTGCAATCCCGGCGCACGCTGGCCAGGGCTGCAGGGAGCTGGCTCGGGGGCCGTCAGGGTACGAGCCCGCTGAGACGAAGGGCAGAAATGTCAGCGCTGGCGGTACTAGATACAACTGTCAGCTCCCTGCGCATCCCAGGAGAACAGCGTACAAACACTTCAGTCAACTGTCGCTCGCTATGGCAAATCAATCACAGAACAAAATCCAGGGGGATAGGCCAGCTTCTAAATCACTCTGTGAAGAATGTACCACACACAAATAGGTGTTTCCTGTCTTCCTAAAACCTCCTACCCATCCACCACTCGGTTAATGACGTAGTACAATTAAGAAGCCGGTCGGGGGCTTCCCTGGTGGCGCAGCGGTTGAGAGCCCGCCTGCAGACGTGGGGGACACGGGTTCGTGCCCCGGTCTGGGAAGATCCCACATGCCGCGGAGCGGCTGGGCCCGTGAGCCGTGGCCGCTGAGCCTGCACGTCCGGAGCCTGTGCTCCGCAACAGGAGAGGCCACAGCAGTGAGAGGCCCGCGTACCGCAAAAAAAAAAAAAAAAAAAAAAAATGAAGCCCGTCGGATTAGGAAGGTGATGTGAAGTGCCTTTGACGCTTTTGACACTTGGTGGTGCCCCAGCTCGCCCACCCTGATCAGGTGCCTTTCCTGCCTGAGTTGGAGGCTGGCTTCAGTGGCCCCTCCCACTACTGACACCGCCCTGTGCTGCCTGGTAGGAAAGCCCGCGCAGCCAAGGGGGCTCCGGGGTGGGGCTGGTGAGCCTGTGTCACAGCGCCTGGTAGGCAGCAGGGGTCTGGGCTTGGCCTGCCCTGAGTGTCTGGCCTCATCCCTGGAGAGGGCGGGGTCCCTCCTCACCTCTCCACCTTGCACCTGCCAGGCATGTCCCACCTGCCGGGCACCTAGACACATGACCCTTCCCTCGTCCCTAGGGCCCTCCCGTCCCTGACCCTTCCATCCCCTAGGGAAGCAGAAAGAGGCCTAAGCGCGTCTGACAAGTGGAACACAGGTGACCCACCCGAAAAGGGGAAATGACGGGCGAGCTTTCACGGGAAGCAGACACGTCCATAATTAGGTCTCACTGCCCCCAATCCGCCAGCGTTCTCACGTTTCCTTCAGAAAACCCCCAAAGTTGCCTCCTATCACCTCAACCTCTAATTTTTTTTAACAGCTTTATTGAGATGTAATTCATATAGCATAAAATTCACGCCCTTTAAATTGTATAACACAGTGGTTTTTAGTATATTTACAGAGTTATGCAACCATCACCATAAGCTGCTTTTAGAACGTTTCCACGCTCTCATAAGGAAACGTTGCACCCCCAGCCCCTGGTGACCACCAAGCTACTTTCTGTCTATGGGTCTGCCTGTTCTGGACGTTTCACGTGAATGGAATCACGCACCATGTGTTTATTAGTCTTTTGTGCCTGGCCTTTTTCACTCAGCACCACGTTTTCGGGGTTTACCCACGTGTGGCCTGTGTCAGTACTCCTTTCCTCTTTGTGGCTGAGCAACGTCCCGTCGTACGGACGTGCCATGCTCTGTTTATCACGCACCGTGCGATGGGCACGGGGTCTGCCCCCTGCCCACCCATCCAGAGCAGCGCTGCTGTGAGTGCTTGTGGCCAGGCCCTCGCCCTGAGTTCTCCCGGACAGATGCCCCCGAGCTGCCAGGCAACGTGGTCGCTCCACGTTTAACTTTCGGAGGAACCGCTGGACCACGTTCCGAAGTGGCTCGTCTCCTTCTCTGACAGAAAGAGGCTTCACTTCGAATGTGAGCATTTGAAACGAGCCACTCAGAATTGCTGCTCCTCTGTTTCCATAACCAGGAGGGCCACGCTAACCTTGCCGCTGCTTCCCGTTGAAAGGGGGCCGGGAGTGACCGTCCAGACCTTGGAGGGATGCAGACCTCTGGGCGGGAGCCCTTCCGACGAGGCTGCTGCAACAGGCGGGCAGGGCACGAGTGCCACGGGGCTCGGAACCCGTGCTTTGGGGGCCCCGTGCCTCCGTTGGGGCCTCTCTGCTGCGGGTCTGCTTAAGAGGGTTAAGTGCCCTTAAGAGATCCCAGAGAACCGTGAGGGCCAAGTAGAATAACACCCCGGGAAAGAGACGCTTCACGCGCACAGCGCCAGCGCGCTGCAGCGGCGCCCGAGCCCGAGGCCCCGCCCCCGCCGCAGCCCGGCCTCACCTTGCTGAGGTGCAGCTGCGGCTGCTGCAAGTGCTGCTTGTGCTTCTCCAGGAACTGCTGGTGCTGCTGCTGGACCACCAGGTGCTGCAGCGCCTGCGCGCTCTGGGGCAGCGGCGCCGACTGCGTGCGGCCCAGCGGGCGGTGCTGTCGCAGCTTGTGCACGGACGGGGACACGCGCTCCGCCCCCACCAGGGGCTGCGCGTGCAGGGGCAGCGCTCCCAGGCCTGCAAGATAGCGGTCTGAAGAGAACACAGCGGGGAGAGGCAGCAGAGGGGAGGGGAGAGGGCCGTTGAGTGACTGACGGAGGCCGGCCGGTCCGGCACCGCCTCCCTGCAGCCCGCCGGCCTGCTCTAAGCTTGGGCTTCAGGGCAGAGGCCTTCCGTCATCTGGTCCCCGGACACCCAGGTCCAGGCCGTAAACGAGAGTGGTCCCGGCACAAACGCCCTCAGAGGGGCCCAGGTCCGGCTGAGGAAGGGGCCAGGGTTCTGGTGGCTCCAGAGCGTCCTGGAAGAGCAGGCTCCTCCCCGACAGCCCACAGAACCAGGGTCTGAGGATCAGTGGTCCCTAGGGATCAAACCATCTTAAAGTCCTCTTAAAGCATAGATTTTATACACACAGAGGGCATTAACACTTTAAAAAATCCTGATGCACATTGCCAAAATCCCCTTCTGTGAATTTCTGGAAAGCTTTTGCTACCAGCTGCATAGGAAAAGGGCAGCTTGGCCGCACCCGTGCCTGGACTAAGTTTTTAAATTAAGAATCTATATTGACGGGACAGGGTCTTGTTTGAATCTGTGTTTGAATCTTGTTTTAAAATGCAACCTCTTCATGCAAAACCCAGGAAGGTAAACGTTTTTCCTCCTGTATTCCAACCATCAATATATGTTTTTAAATGAGTTTTGATTGATTTTTATTTATTTATTTATGGCTGCGTTGGGTCTTTGTTGCTGCACGCGGGCTTTCTCTAGTTGTGGCGAGCGGGGGCTACTCTTGGTTGCAGTGCACGGGCTTCTCATTGCGGTGGCTTCTCTTGTTGCAGAGCATGGGCTCTAGGGCACACGGGCTTCAGTAGTTGTGGCGCACGCGCTCAGTAGTTGTGGCGCACGGGCTTGGTTGCTCTGTGGCATGTGGGATCTTCCCAGACTAGGGCTTGAACCCATGTCCCCTGCATTGGCAGGCAGATTCTTAACCACTGCGCCACCAGGGAAGTCCCAGTATTTTTTTCTTTTACGAATTGTTGGTTTAGTTTACCATTTTTCCCCGGTTCCATGGGCAAAAGGGTATAACAAACCCATCCCAGGCCACCTGAGTGTCTGTTCCCTGGCACCTGAACAACATCTAAACATCACTCAGGCAGACTATGACCCCAGATCAGGGTGTCTGACCAGGAGAAACAGCAGGTAAACTGACACGCCAGCTCTCGGCTGCCGGGAGAGGCTGGCTCCTGCGACGGGGCACCTGCCCGAGGTGGCCCTGCTGGCAGGTGGGTGGCTCCTCCCCTCCCCCAGGGTCTCCAAAGCCAGCAGGGCTGTGTCGCCATGTTTAGTCGAGCCTGAGACCCCCGGTGGGTACGGACTCTCAGTCTTTTCCTGGTCCCTTCATGGGGGCTATTTTTGAATTAATAATACTACTTTGTGCCAACAGGAAAAAACCCCTCAACCCTAGCAAAACTGTCCCGTGTTACCTTTTCAAAAAGTTAATCAACCACAGTTCCCTAAGCCACCATCTCTTTTCATCCAAACCAGTAGTTTTCTGGAAAGGTAAGTTATCTTAAACTTTATTGTCTGCTTGGCTACTAAATTAAAGTGAATAATTCAAAACATATTCGAGATAGAATAGAATCATTCTCTCCCCTGCTTTCTAGAAAAGTTTTTTAAAAAAGAACGGCATCATCGTAAAGAAGGTCTTTCAGAATTCATCAATTGTTGATGTAGATATTGTGGGGGATTAAACCATTTCACGGAGATAAGGACGCCAGCCACACAACGCTGCATTTATGGCATTAAAAGGCTACTTAGTTACTGAAAAGGTCCCTTCTTGGAAAACATCCCTTGTTGTTTTTAAAGCTCCTGTGGACCCCCAAGGATGAGGGTGTAGCAGGTGATGGGACAGCAGAGCCCTGCGCTGGGGTCATCTGGGCCGACCCCACATCATATCCCGCAGAGAAGCTTCTCTCGCTTCTAGAGGAAGGAATGCTAATTCCATGGAGATCTGACATCCGGTTGGACACAGGCTCAGGAACAAGGAGCTCAAGTGGGCCACCGAGGCTGGGACTCCGGTTCCTGCTGCCGCTGTGGGTTCTCCAGGGCTCCCCTCTCTCTGATCTGGGCCTCCAGCAGCTTGACGACGGCGCGGACACCTGCCTTCACCGGACGACGCCTCCCAGAGGACACAGGCCGCGGTTCCCGCGGGGGCGTGGCGTGCGCTGACGGTGGAGAGGCCTTACACACCCCGATGCTGGCGATGCCTGGGTTGGACACGGAGCTGCCCGGGGCGCAGGTCTTTCGGGCTGGAGCCCAGTTTTGTTCTGCCTCCGTTCCTTACCTCTCACCTCCATCCCACTCACCCCAAATTTGACTCCACTGCCTCTGGAGGGTAAAACTGTGGGGCTACCACACTCGGGGACAAGTGTCATGATCAGCATCACTGAAAACTGGACATCCTGACCTTCCAGTAGCAAAGCCATCAGCTGGCAGCTAGTTTCCGATTCAGAACCAAAAGATGACCCCTTAGATCATTAACGAGAGTTTCTGATGATAACTCAAAAGCAGTTGTTTTCAGTATACGTTGTAAAACTTTCAAGCATGAGGGCACAGTAAATTAGGATCAAATTCTGTCCTGGGTGACCAGCTGCCTGCAGAGGCCGGCTGGGCTGGGTGGGGGGAGGGCCCAGGCTGCCCCTCCCACAGGGACCTGCTTCTGAGTGCTTGTGAAATGATGCGGTTCTAGCTCTGACACTGTCTGTCTGTCCATAGTGACCACCAGCAAGCAGGCAGGTCTGTGGGCTGACCACTGGGGAACCTCAGGGAACCTGCCAGAGGCAAGCCTGCAATGACCCTTCCTGACTCTGCTCAGACACCCCTCCTGGCACATGGCTCCATCGCAGAAATGTCTACTGTGTACCTTCCAGCATCAGACACCACGGGGGCTGGCAAGGTCGTAGGAAAGCCCAGCGTCTGTTCTCCGGGGGGGAAGGAAGCATGCCCAGACACTGCCTGCACAGAGTGCCCGGGAGGAGGGCCGGGGGGGCACCTGAGTGGGGCCTGACGCAGAGGAAGGGCTCTGAGAAAAGGGCGGTGGGCCCAGACTGCCAGTGCTGAGCGAGCGGCATCCCGCGTGCTGCGTGGGAAGAGAGAGGGAGGCCCACGCAGGCTGCTTCCACGCTGAGAGCTGGGGCTACGCGCCACGCCGGAGCTGTCCGACAGAGCTTCCTGGGCTGACGGAGTGTTCCACGTTCCTACCTTCCCCACAGCCAGTGGCCACGTGACCATCTGATGAGTCACGTGTGGGACTCCCCTCAAATCTCTCCCTCTGCTGTTAGCCTTCAGTTTCAATGTGGGTGGCCACACTGGCACAGCTCTGGACCCTGGCAGGGCTTCCTGGGCCTTCCTACGAGTGTAGGGTGACTCCAGAGATCCCAGGATCAGGGAGGGGGCGGGGAAGGGCCCACGAGACCCCCAGGAAGAACAGACAGGCCAGCAGGGAAGTGAGGGAGAGAGCGAGGCTGAAGGTTAAAAACGATAAAAAACCAAGAGTCACCACCACAACCAGAGCACCTAACAGCTGAGGAGAGAGTGAGGTCAGGGCCGCCCCTGTAAAACCTCAGGGCTCAGGAGGCCCCTGTAAAACCCAGGGAGGAAGCTGAACACCCCGCTGGATGGTGCCGGGACTTGGGGTGATGACCCTACGGCAGGGCCCCCTCATTTCGTGGCGAGCCCCATGCACGCTGTCACTCAGAAAGTAACACTTTTACACTGTTGTTGCTAGGCAAATTTCATAGCAAATCTATGTTTTTCTAAATATAACCACCCCTTAGATGGGGCACATTAACAAAAATATGACTGCTAATAGAAACCCGCTGCCCACCAGAGCCAGCCCTGGGCTTCCACCACATGTCGACGACCCAAAGGGCAGACCCATGAGAGGGGCCGCCAGCCTGCTCTCGGGAAATTAACCAGAAGGTGTGTCTGACGCTCCCGCTTCCACTCACCTGGCTCTGTGAGTGGACTCGGTCTATCCAGCCACAACCTGACATGCGAGGGGCAAGTCCAGAAGTTCTGGGCGGGGCAAGCCACCCCGCCGGCCCTCCCGGGGAGCCCACAACGGCCTGGCGCGGCCTGCAGCATGCTCACCTGTGACGAGGGGCGTCTGCGCGGGCGGCTGCTCCAGGAGGACCACGTGCTGCAGAAGGGAGCTGGGAGTCGCCCCCGAGTCGCGCTCCAGGGGTGCGGTGCCCAGGTAGGGGGTGAGGTGGGTGCCGGGGAAGAGGGAGATGCGTTGCTGGAGGGCCGGGAGGGCCAGTCTCTCGGCATCCTGCTGGCTGGCCGCCCCCTGGAGAGGCACAACCGGGCTCCCGGGGTCAGGGGCCTGGGATGGCCACCCCGTGCCACTGCCACCCAGACCCGTGGGCGCCCACTTACCGCGGAGGGGCCGGTGGCGGGAAGTCCCAGCGTGATGTTGGGCAGGGATGGTGACGTGTACAGGGGCAGCGGGCCCACCGAGCCTTCTCGCGTCACGAGTCTGTGTGCCAGGCTGGTCTGGGGACAGAGCACACAGGGCCATCACACAGGCTCTGCACTGCCAAGCCTGGGTGACACTCGCCAAGGGAAACGACCACAGAAAACACTTCGGGGCAGACCACACCCATTTCTGAGATCCCAGGTACAGAAATCTATTAACGAGGACAGCACGGGGGGCGAACACGGCATTCAAAGCAGGCCGCAAGCACTACGGCCTGATTCACAATCCTTCACTCTCTTGTTTTGTTCTTATTCAATTCACTCATCGTTGTAAACTGTCAGAATAAAATCTAGGACAATATATTTAAAAATATATTCTTAGAGTCGGGAATGTCTTTCCAAACATATCCTGAGAGGTAGAAACCAGAGAAGAAAGTATTGATTGAAAAAGAAATCCCGGGCTTCCCTGGTGGCGCAGTGGTTGAGAGTCTGCCTGCCGATGCAGGGGACACGGGTTCGTGCCCCGGTCCGGGAAGATCCCACATGCCGCGGAGCGGCTGGGCCCGTGAGCCACGGCCGCTGAGCCTGCCCGTCCGGAGCGTGTGCTCTGCAACGGGAGAGGCCACAGCAGTGAGAGGCCCGCGTACCGCAAAAAAAAAAAAGACAAAGAAATCCCCTCACATAAAAGGCAAATAATGGTGACAACAAGGTTGGCAGTGTATAGCAGAGACAAAGACCAATATATGAAGAACATGCAAATCAAACAACAATCAGTGAGAAATGACCAAGAAGAACCCGTATGGAGGAAAAAACTCAGAAAAAATATACTCAACATCATCAGTAAATCTAAAAACATATCTAAAAATCTAAAAACATTTAAAAACCTATCCAGTTGGCAAAGATGTTCAAAAACGACTACAGCACCTTGACCCAGAGAGACAGAAACACACTGCTGGCTGGATCATAAATCGGCGTGCGCCTTCTGCAGGACAACCTGGCAATCCGTGTCAAAAGCCTTAAAACCGGATCTAACCTTAAATCCTAAAATCCCACTCCACCCTCAGGATGCACCCTCGGGAAGTAAAGCTGGACGCACACAGACTTGGCCACAGGAGCGCTCTCTGCAGCAGCGTCCACGCTGTGCTACAGCGTGTCAGAGGATAAATCCATGAGGGCACGTTTACACATGGGGACGTTCGGGGTGGAAAAATCTTGTTGATGACTTGGGAACTTATTTATCCCGTGTGGTTAAGTACCAGCCCCCGAGGACTTGAATTGCTGTCGTATTTCACATCTTTTTGCTTCTAGAATGAAGGTTCTTTGCTAGAAGGACACTGTCCTGTTCACACGGTATATCCTCCCTCACCAGACGCCAGTGACGTGCGCGGGGCCAAGGGCACAGGACGAAGAGGACGAGAAGGTGGTCGCCGTGGCGCCAGCTGGTGGCGTCACGGAAAATAACACTAGCGATGGACATCTAACCAATTCTCTCCTAGTTCTTCTCACAATGGACTATATAATTAAGGATGAGAAACATTTTGGGTGCTTTAAAATTTCATTTGCAAGGTTAAAAAAAAAACATGAGCTGAAAGTTGTCACAGGTTATGGTAAACAATGGCAGGCTACCTGTAGCCCCGGCTGGAAAGTCCATCAGAGGACTGGGCGATTACCACCCCAGGGCATGTGTGCAGGTATTCGGTGCTTTGCAGAATTCCCTAGGTGGCTTAATGGTGTCATACTTGGTGTTACTTGGAAACACACACACACGTGATAAACTCTGTCCTCATGCTCTAAGGGCAGAGCAGGAAGGACCGGCGTTCTTCACCTGGCAGGGAAGTTAGTGCATCTTCCCCGGAGAGATGGCTGCAGCCACCTTTAGTTCATTCACATATTCAATTGTACAGTAATGATTAAAGGGCTACTTTAAAAAGTGGCCCTTTTTCTAGATATAAAAAAAATCAGCAAGTTATGATTTAGAGAAAGTGGTTGAGATTGCCAAGGAAAGCACGATTTTGTTCCTGGATTTGTCCAGGAACAAAATAAGCAAACATTTAATGTTTGAAAGTTGTCATTTCCTCTTTATAACCAAGGCTTTTTTTTTTTTTTTTTTTTTTTTAAACCTGATTTATTTTTAGAACTAAAGCAGCCTTCTGGGAATTGCCTGGTACCTTGATTTGTCTGCATTTCTGGTGCTGGCCATCTCCATCTGCCCTAGGACGTGCTTCTCAGCTGACCAGCTGCCCAGAAAGGCCAGGGCCAGGGCAGCATGCCCTCTGCACGCCCCCGAATCACACTTGGCTTTCGGCATTGGCTGAATGTCTTCCCCTGGGGAGAGGCTGTCAACGGGTCAGGGGAGCCCTGCTTCCTCCATGTAGGCGGGGTGGGGGAGGGGTGGAGGATTCTGAGAGTCCCTCAGTCAAGCAGGGAAAGGGGGCGCCGGGCCAGTGGGCCTCGCTCCCGCATGAGCACCCCACCTCATCTCTGGACTGGAGAAGGGGAGCAGACAGAATGGAGCTCTCAGAGAGAACTGTCCAGTTCTAACTATACTTGAAATCCACAAAGGACATCCAACTGTGATCAAATTTTCAAAGACTACCCCCATGATTACAATGAATATCTAACGTAAAACATGAAAACTGCCCTCTTTGCGTTTCTTGTGAATCCTCTGACATCTATTAATCTGCAGTAGCTTAAATTTACATTAACGTGTGATTTGTAAACATTAACACATAATTTAAACTGGCATCCGCCCGAACAAGGCATCTCTACAATATGAACCATTAGGTACATAACTGCCCGTTCTAAATAAAATCAGGACCTACGACAGCTATTGACAAGCCACACCCAGCATCACATCTCACTCCAGGTAGTGATTTCTAGGCCAAGTTCTAAGGCTAATTACAGGTAGACCTCAGCTATGAACTCAGTCTCACAGAGAAGGGTTGTTAAGACGTTTCATAATGTAAACAAGTATTTAAGCCGGTAGGTTGAAATGCACAGGTAATAAGAGAAGTAAACACATAAAGGAAATGAATAAAAGAAAGTAGGGATTCGGCAGGCTAGAGGCAGGAGCACAAAATCATTTCCAGCAGTCATCCTAGTTTCTAAAAATCTGCTTACACCTTAAGTGTCTAGAAACTGGAAATGAAAATGGAGTGGACACGTGTGCCTGTGTCCTCCAACTAAGACTTGTCAACCCTCTGGAAGGGCAGGACTCATTTCTAAATATTTAAGGAAGAAAGTAAATACCAGTATTTGATAAATTATATAGCCTCCTGTACGTTGGAAGGAACGTAAAAAGCCTCATGAGAACCTTGCAGTCAGTAGGACCGTCTGAGCAGGAGGTACACGGCACTGCTGGCTCAGTCCAGGGAAGCGAGGTGTGCAGCCGGCTCCCCAGCGGTCGCCCCCACCCTCGGGCCCCTGATACCGGTCGGCACCTGCCCATCCCAGTGGGCACGGGAGAGACGACTGGAAGCAGGCCCTTGCAGGGGAGGGTGCCTGGCAGAGGGCTGGCACGAGGCAGGAGCTCCAGAGACACTTGTGGGATGAGCCGGGGGAGAGAAAGTGAATAAGGAGGGAAATGAAGGCATGGAGCAAAGGTTCTGGAAACTCTGGCCCGAAACATGGCCCTGACCGAGGTCTGGTCAAGGGCATGACCTGCAGCCAGCCCTGGGGCCCCTCCACCTGGCTGGAGCAGCCCCCCAGAGAGACCTCTCCCGGAACTCTCTCTGCACCCACATCCCTCTCAACCTGTAGCGCACCTGGGGTCTGACCGACAGAGGTGAGGGTCGCTGACCCCTGTGGTCAGAGGCTCCTGGTTCCTGAGATGCTTCTGAAATGCTGCCCCTGACAGTCAAGATTGAAGGGCAGCTGGAAACTGCTCTTTGGAGCCAAAAAACCAGACGTGGACAGGAGCGCTGGGCACTGACCTCGGTCGGGATGCTGGGGACAGCGGGCGCGATCCCATTCTCCGCGCTGGCATTCCCAGAGCTGTTGTTGGGTGAGCTGGGTGCGGAGCCCGGGGCGCTGCTGCAGGCCGAGTCTGGGGGTGGGAGAGACACCTGTGAGCCTGACTCAGGTCAGGCAAGGACACAGCTTCCGAGGCCCTGAGCTGCGCTGGCCGCCTGTCCTCAAAGCTGCACTTCTGCTTCGAGCTGGCTGATGGTAGAAGTCCCAGCAAAAAAGAACAGGACCACGGTCCCCAAACAAGGGCCATGGAGCTAATTCCCTGCTCTCCGCTTTGCTAGCGACCCCTTGTGAGCTTCGCAAGCCTGTGGCTCATGGAGGCCCCACTGGCACCTTCTAAGCTGTGCACACTCTCAACTTTATTCCCCTTTTAAAAAGTCTCAAGATGATCGTAAACCCCAGAAAAAGAGACCCTGAACACTTACTGATATTCTAACAACAAAAGGCAAGAGAACACAGAGGCCAAATTACTGTGAACAGGGGAAGGTCAGATTCACTGTGCTTGCTTATAGAGCCCCCTCGGTCAACATTTGCTTTGAGCTAATCTTTGCATTTTTCAAACATCCAGGGAAGAGCACAGCTGGTGGCTTCTGTCATTGATCAGGGTTATCTGAAAACTCACCCCAAGATACTCTCCAAGTAGCTGTGATGGGGGGAGTGGCCCCAGCCCACGCATCGGGGCTGGGACTGAGGCGGCTGTGTGTCCCAGCCGGGTCTGCCCCTCAATCCCAAAGGAGCCACTGTTGCTGTGTGTGCAAACACGTGACGTAATAGGAGGGTCTTGTTTGGCTGAACGGTGTTTATCAATGGCAGCCTCTGGTTAAAACCTTCCAGCGGGAGCCAGTCTGAGCCATTTGCCTTTCCCTCCTGAGTACTCACTGACCACGGGCACTGCTGACTTAAGACTCTGCCCTGATCTGGGCTCCCAGGCTCGAGGAGGGGAGGCCTGGGCCACCTCCCTAAGCTGGCACGCCGAGGGTGCTCAGCAGGCCACCCTTCAGCGCACGAGACCACGGAGCTGCCCGCGGGGCCTGGCGGACTCTGAAACCTGATTCCAGCCGAACTTGGGGTAACAGTGAGAAGGCTGAGGGTGCTGGTGTGGATGGCAGTGCCCATACCCCAGCGCCCAACCCCACAGGCCTGGCTCGCTCGGGGAAGGAGACCTGACCCCAAGGGCACATGCACGACCCCCTCAACACAGGGGACCGTGAGCGCTCTCATCCTCTCCACCGAGCAGCGGTCCCCCTGGGGACACCCTGGCAGCAAGTGGCTCTGTCCACTCGAGGGCCTGCCCCGCCCTCCGGGGCACTGATGGTGAACTCAGGCCCCGGCTCCCCTCCCTCCTCCCACCAGATCCAGAGCCTGGTCTCCGCCCAGTGAAGTCAGATTCACATGCGGCCCCCCTGACTGGGCTGGCAGGTGTCACACTTCACGCGTGAAGACAGGGCTTGCTTCCCCGACCCCCACGGCAGCCATCCCCCTGCCTCGGAGGCCCACATGGTGAGGCCCTCCCACCTTCCTTTAAGCGGGCCTGTGTCAGCAGCATTGGCAGATAAACTCTCCCAGGTGTGCGTGAGAAAGCACAACAACTTTCGGGGGCAATAAAAGAATATATAATATCTCTCCAACTTTTCACCCGTTTTCAACTCAGAATGTTGATTATTTTTTCATTCCACTTCAAGGAATCTGGTCTAAGAAAATAAATACAAACACGTAACCGTCACGGTATTATTTGTATCAGCACGATGGAATACCATTAAAGGTGCCAAAAGTGTTATGACGAACATCAAGTGAGGAAGGGACACAAGTGTCCACAGGGCGTGTGACAAACGCACAGAAAAAGGACTGGAAGGAAATATGCTCAGATGTCAACGGCAATTTTCTCTGGATAGTGTTGGAGGGGCAGCTGATTCCCTCGTTTGCTTTCCCTGACGGGCACGGCTTTGACGAGGGACTGGGGACAGGCAGAGTGACGCTGCCACGTCCCGGGACCCGTCTCACCATCATCTCAGTGCCACCTCTGGTCCCCGTCTCACTGCCGTCCCCCTGTACCAGCCGGTGGCGATACTTTGGCGACGCTGTGGACCTCTCCTGCTCAGGAACCCTCACCACCTCCCCAGTACCCCGGGGGAGGTGCCCCCCGCTCTCTCTGGGACCCTCCCTGACTGGAACTCCTTATTTTCCAGTCTTGTGGAAAGCCAGCTCTGCTCAGAGCATCCTGCCTCGCCAGCCGCCGGGAGGTGTGCTGGCCCGGAGATCCACCCCTCCTCTCCGTGCTGCCGCATTCACCTGTCGAGCTTCCCCGGGCCCGGCGTGGCCTCCACCGCTGCCCTGCCCCGCTGCCTTCGTGGTGCCCTCTTTGGGTAACACAGCCCAGGGCCAAGCTGGGGCCGCGTGTGGTGCGTTAGCTGCCCCACACGTGACGCCTGGGCTCTGGAGTTAGCCTGGAAGCTCCCTGGAGGTGAGGACGCAGCTCCACCATTTTGGTGCCCAGCCCGGTCCTGACACAGTCACAGGCTGACAGTACGGATGCCAGAGCCGGCGCTCAGAAAGAAGCTGCCGGGGACTGCGTCCCACCAGAGGCGGGACTGGAAATAGACGCAGGGGCCCCCGCCGTCCGCGGCCTGGCATCCCCCAGAGAGACGAGGCCCACGTGTGGTGAGACACACGCTCTAACTCGTTCGAGGCCCGAGTCTGAACGGAATCCCCCAGGCAGAGGATCCTGAGGTGACACTCTTCCCTGATCTCTCTACCAGAATGAGCACACGATGACAAAGATGGGCCCCCGGGCACGAGGCCTCAGGCTCCGCTTCACACAAACGCACGAAGTCCAGAGGCAGGCCCTCGGACTAGGGGTTTCAGCCCCGGGCTGCGGGACAGGGGTGAGGGCACTCCGGCCCTCATCCCATCCCAGACCCTGGACTCAAATCTGAGCGTGAGGTTCCCGGCCCCTCACCAGCACCAGCACCAGCACCAGCACCAGCACCAGCACCCAGGAGCCCCTCCTCCTTCCCCGGGAACTTGGCCTTGAAGGATGATGCCTAGAGCCCTGGTTTTCCCACCAAACCCTGCACTTGGTGCAAACATGGTCCCGCCCTTCCTGTTACCAGGCCGCCTGAGCAGCCCCTTTGTCCCGTGATTTTAGGGCTGGTGGATGTGCACCCTCTGGAAGTGGGGTGCACGCCCAGGAAGTGAGGTGCGCCCTAGGGACTGGGGTGTGTGTCGGGAAGTGGGGTGCATCCCAGGACGGGGCTCTGCCTGGTGGGTGTGCTCCCCCGAGTCGGCCGCTAGGTGGGGGCCGAGAGCAGTGCGTGAACGGAGACTCGGAAACTCCCAATCTCCCTCCTCCTTCCCCCGCCCCTGTCCGTCCTACTCTTCCCAGGAAGATTCTCACGCTTTCCAGTGGTTCAGACACTGTTTAATGGGCAGTGGGGCAGGTAGGAAACGTGGCATTCACCACTGATCGGGCAGGATCAGTTAAAACCCCACCTCCCGAGAAGCCTCCACTTAAAATTCCTGAAAGTCTCCTGTGACGTCAGGAGGTCTGACTGCTCTCACCTGCCCAGCTGGGTCAAGGTCGGCTGGGTCAAGGTCGGGAACAGGACACGCCGTAAAGGGATAGGGACGGGCCTGAGACCCCCTGCTGGGCAACCACCGTGGCCCTGGGACTCACGGGGCTGGCACTGCGGGCACAAGAGCCCTCGGGGCAGGGGGCAGGCGGCGGTGGGGACATGCGGAGAGGCAGGTTTCGGTGCTGAAGGGACAGCGCACAGGAGAGCCTCTCAGAGGGCAGCCGGGTTTGCACGAACATACCTGTGACATCCAAAGGACGCTTTTTTAGAGCCGTGACCACTGGCCCATCTTTCCTGCGTAACAGGGGGCTGCTCCGTCTTTCAGCCACTTTCTGCTTTAGCCTGGAGCGTAATTTCAGATTGGGTTCAGATGCTGCACGGAAAGGAGACACCATTACAAGCAGGCAGACACAACTGGGGTCACGGTTATCTCGTGGGCAGTGTAAGAATATGCTCATTGGGTAAGTATTAGCTTAACACAGATGCGCTGTTCCAGGCTGGAGCAAGGCAGCAACCTGAGACCTCGGGCAGAAGACGTCCAGCCCCATCCATCAGTCCAAACGCCGACGCAAATGCACCTGACGCCTTTAGTGAACTGTCTGCGGACAGAGGGTTATATACATGTTGGAGCGGCCACTGCATTTACAAGTAGCTGGGAGGAAACCCGGCCATCGGGGATGGTTTTGGGGCTCTGGCCCACGAATGTTACTATGACCCCTACATTACAGACTTTCCCGTTCACCTGAGAATCACAAATTCCTCCGTCATGTAACAGACCAGGAGCCAGCTGCCCACTCGAGCTCCCGGCCACCGAGAGGGTGCTAAGGTCAACCCGCCCCGGTGAGAGGCTTAGCCATGCTGCCTGCAGGTGCTCAACTGACCCCTGGGCACAGGTGCTTAGGCTTGGTTTGGTTTTGGTTAACAGCTCTACTTGTGCGCATGGAGCCCTTTGCAAACCCGCATTTTTAAGCCCACGGTGGTCCCAGCCTCTGCGCCTGGAGCCCAGACACTCCCACCCCCTGTTCCATATCGGGGGTGGGCCGTCTTGGGAAGAGGGCAGCCTCACACAGCCGGGCCCTCCCGGGGGCCTCCAGCCACAAGAAGGCAGCTCGGGAGTCCAGGACAGTGGTAAGACCACCACCCCGGAGACGCGCGTGTTCCGGGGCTTTTACTCAACTACGTTCAAGCGTCTACTACTTGTGGATTTGTAAACCGGAGAGTTTCTACCTTTTGTTTTTTTTAATCAGCTACCCTGCTGTTGTTAATCCTTCTGGAACAGGAAGTTTACTGCTGTCTAGAGCAAGAAGCAACATAACCAAATTCCCCCCAGAATTGGAGGTAAGCTTGCTTGGGTTATAAGAACCGGGCCATGTGTGTCTCATGGCCACTGTGACTCTGCCCTTTGGGGAGCACAGCGGGCAGGGCTGGGGGTCCCGGCTGCCGGGTGACCCTGAAGGAGGCTGGGAGGCAAAGGACGGTTGCTCTGTGGATCTTGGGAAGAGGAGAGAAGCAGGCCCCCTAAACGACGCTCCCCAGAGAAATCAAAGATGTGCAAGGAAGCTGCCAGCCCTTCCCAGAGGCTCAACCTGCTCTGGAGGCGCTGATTCTGGGAGAGACGCCCTCTCTGCTTTGCAGCCTATTTGTGTATAAAGCAAGGTTCCCCGGCAAGACTTTCATGTCGAAAGATGGAAAGGATCCAACTACAAAGCAGCCTTCCCCACCGGCTAGAGGATCCAATTCTATTGTTTTTAGTACTATTTTTACATTGTTGAGATAACTGTAGATTCACATTTCATTTGTTTCTATTTCTACACTGAGTTTCTTACTTTATCATTATTTAAAAAGAAAAAAGAAAGCCCAAACCCCACCAGATTAACAGGCAAGGAGACAACATCTCTCCTCCTACTAAGATCTCAGCTGAACCGACACAGGGTTTCCACAACCACGTGTCCGGCCCGGGGACGGAAGCTGCTCCTGAGATCCAGGGCGGCGCAGCACCCACAAAAGGGAGCGTGTGGCCCCCGGCCCCACTGGGGGCCCCTTTCAGGGGGCACTGAGGTCAGTCTGTCTGGAAGCAACACTGCCGTGTCCTGACGTCACGCCCAGCAGCGAGTGAGGAAAGCAGAGACTGAGCCGCCAAGGGTGCCCAGCACATGGCGGGGGCGGCGGCACAGAATTCAGAGTGCGTGTGCTCAGAGCTGCCCTTTCTGGAATCCTGAAAGGACAGTGAAGGACGCTGCAAACAAAGGTGAAAGAGCGGGAAGGAGATATCTGAAGGAGTTGAGAAACCTGAAAAGTGGGAGTAAAAAGGCCCGACATCAAATGAACAAACACGCCAGGAGGGGACAGAGCAAACGGAGCAGAGGGAACATCACTGGTAAAGTAACCGGAGGCGCTGCTCCGTCAGGGGAGACCCAGTGCCCAGAGGGGCCAGCGTGGGCTCGCTGCGGCCTGCAGCCCCTCGCCGGGGGGCGTCCACAGAGGGCCCAAGGGTCTACCTTGTGAGCAGTGTCGGGTTGTGCAGGGGCCACTCCCAGGGCGAGACGAGGACCTGAAAGTCCTGAATGAAAGTGGCTTCTAGACCCAACCACATCAGGCACCACGTGGGAGCCAGAATAAGTGCATTTACCAGCATGCGAGGACTCAAAAAATTCACATTCCACGCGCCATTTCTCAGAAAGCTTGGAAGAGCTGCACAACCAAGATGAAGGAGACCACACACAAAGGAGCACGTGGAGTCCAGGGAAGAGAGGCCGAGGCTCCCAGGACACCGTGCAGGGGGGCCTCCGGGCTGGAGCAGAGCTGCCCGACTACCTGCCCTGGAAGAGCAGCTCCCCCATCTGCCAAAGCGTGGGGGTGAATTGAAAGCAGGTACAGGGACACATGGGGAATACAGCCAACGTTTTATAGTAACTACAAACGGAATATACCTTTAAAAACTGTCCAGTGTACAATACTGTACACCAACTGTACCTCAATTAAAAACAACAACAACAACAACCCAGGCACACAGGAAACTAAGCAAATGAAAGGGTTGGGGCAGGGCTGGGCAGGGTGGGTCAGCTTTTTCCCGAGCGAGCCTGTGTGGCTCTTTGATTTATGGACATTTATTTCCTTCGATAACGATAAAAAGAGAACTCTAGAAAGTCAAAAGACAGACTAGAATACTAAAATTTTTTGTAGCATACATGACAGAGACAGGATTGGTACGAACGTATAAAGCAACAAGGAAAAAAATAACAGCCGACAGAAAAGCGATTGGGTGAGCTGCCTTTAAACACTGGACATTTAGGGCCCCTCCCTGTGTGACCGGTATGGTTGCAGACGCTGGGCACAGGGGGTGGACAAGAGAGACACGGTCTAGCCGGCACCCCTGCTGCCTGGCTCAGGAGCGTCGGCCACCCTGCGCCGTGGGAGCGCGGCAGAGGGGCTCTGCAACACAGCACTCGGCTTACTTCCTGGTAGGGAAGATGGAAAGTAAACAGAGACACCCAAACCCCACTAACGATGACAGAACTGCTCTTTGAAACATCAGAGACATTGTGACTTCCACACCCATCACACCTGCTCGAGTGACTGGTGGTAGCACCCCACGAGTGACGTGGGGGAGGGGCCTCTCCTAAGCGGCTGGCAGGGTCCCGCGTGCTCCGTTCTTTACGCTACACACACTCATTTGAACTGGCAGCTCCATTTTCAGGAGTCTATCCTACAAAAACAGTGAGCAAAGGGACCTATGTTTGTGGGCAAAATAAAAACTAGAAAACTGTTAAAACTGCTGTAATCTTCGCATGTTGGGATAATATAGAAAAAGGTGCTGCTCTCGATACATTGAAATGGAGTGGTACCCACGATACAGTGTTAACTGAAAAATAAAGTTGCAGCCAAAGGGCAAAGCAGGTGTTTTTGTTGACAAAGAGGCTGTCCGTACACATCACACACACACACACACAGATGCACACCCTACACACAGGCATAGACCACATCTGCGCAGAGAGATGCCAAACCTGTAACGGGAGCTGTCTCTGGGGGATAACATGCAGATGTGTGCATTTTACTTATGTTTTAATTTGTCGTATGTATGCATTCCTTCCGTGATTTTTTAATTAAAAAAGCACTCTACTTGATGCTTAAGACTGGTATTTTTCTACACCCTCTTTCCTACTCAGTAGTTTCAATAGCGTATTTCAGGTGGCCATCAAGCTCAGATATGAACAGTGCATATCTGAAAAAGATTCGTTCAAGGTCTCACTTCTCAAGTGAGGAGGAGTCCAAGTTTGATAGAAATCGAAGTTTGAAGTGAGGCCCTTCTCAGGGTAGACACTGCCTAGTACTTGACCATACTCGCCATCTCTGCAAGTTTCTTTGGAAAAGCACAACAGAGCCTTTTTGAAAACCTTCTGAGCACATTCACACCCACTGTTTAATGAACACAAAGTTGACGGAAGACAGCCCAGTACAAAAGCCCCGTGCGAGGGCCGGAAGCGGAGGGGGCCCGGCAGGGCCAGGCACCGTGGAGTGAACCCCCTTCTCCCCGCCCGGGCAGCTCAGAAAGGGCCGATTCCCTGGCCCAGCCCTGAGCAACAGCCGCAGGGCATCTACCACCCTGCACCTGACGAATATAAAACACACCCAGGTACAACTATGCACAGTGTGGGCGTTGCCCACAACTGCCCAGGCCACCAGGATGCCACGGGTTCCGCAAACTGCATCAGAACAACACATGGACCACGCGGCGACCGGCCCCTTCCCAAACTACAGAGATGAGCATCACGTGTGACAAAGGCAGCTGTGACCTCCTCCCTGGTGACCTCGACCCACGCTACACGTGGACGTAAAATAAACTAGTACAACTACTGTTCGGCTCACCAGGAGGCAGGGAAAGCTTCGCTTACTCACTGACACATGTGGCCACAGCGATCAGAGACACCCCGCTCTCTACCGGCTGCTGCGCGCCGCCTTGCCTCCGGCAGACCCTTGTCAGGTAGTGGAGGCCCTGCTGGGGTGCAGGCTGAGGAGTGGGGCCCTCCAGAGGCAGCCCATCAGGCCAGGGCCTCTGCAGAGACCTGAGACAGGGCCTCGGTCCACTCTATCTGTACTGGGGTGAAAACCTAGCTTTGCCCTCCACGTGCCTGGGGCCCCTCCCTGGGCGGGGCCCGCAGGCGGAACCTGACGTCCACCCTGGGCCTGGACCCTGCCGTTCACCTCTTCTGTGGGACTGGAGGAGGCTGAGGACTGTGGCCCGTCTCCCCGCCTGCCACACCAGCTCAGGGACCGGCACCCAGGAAGCACCCGGCCACTGCTCGCTCACTAATCGCAGGGAAGACACAGGCGGGTTGGCAGCCGCTGCTCGGGCTTGGGCACGTGGCACTGCCTTGCAGAGTGCACGCCCTGCAGGCTAAGTGCCAGGAACCCAGTGGACCCCGGCTTACTGTCCTGTGACCAGGCAAGGCACCCAGCGCGAGTGTCCACCCAGGGGCCACTGCCAGCCCTGAGCTGGTAACAGACACGCGGCTCCCTGCAGACCTGGACTCTGTCCCCTGGGGCCATCAAGGAACCACTGGGACAGCAGTCGATGACAGCAGGGCCGTAAAGGCTCACTGAGGGGTTTTCAGTGACTGGATTGGATAAAATGGGCCACAAGTATGCCCCACGCTCACTCTACAAACCGGACCCTGCCACCCCCGAGGGAACGCTGACAGGGAAGGACGGGGGAGGGGCTGGAGGGCGCGGCTCCGTGTCCCTGGTGGCCTCACTGGCGGCTGTGCGCACGGCTCCCTTCTGCTCCTGACCCCCACCCGCCCCCCGCCCTGCCCTCTGAGGCAGCAGCCCCACAACGGACCCACCCGTGACGTAGCAGCACTGCGGCCCCATTTCACAGATGTGCAAACTCGCTTGGCGAGGCTGTCTGCCCAGGACACAGGACGGTGAGGGCCAGGCTGACTGCAAAGCCGTCCCTCGTGAAGCAGGGCAGCTTCAGCCAGCGATGGAGAGAAACCCGTCACGTTTCCCGCATCTCAGCAACCAACCAATGTTTCCTGTGAAGAGCTGCTTCCAGCGGGGGAAGGGACAGGTGTGCTCTCCAGAGAGGAAGGGCCCTGAGGGAGGTGGACAGCTCCGCCCGGTGGCCAGGAGCCCAGTTCTCCGCGTCCTCCGGAGTCTGCTGCTCCAGGGGCCGTGGGCACCACGCCTGCCACGCCCAGGGCGGGAGGAAGCACCGTGCGCCCAGTGTACCCACTTTACTGATGAGAGACTGAGGCCAGGAGAGCCTCAGGAATCTGTCGTAGGGCACAGAGCTGCAAACCAGGCGGGAGAGACCCACCGGGCTGCGGGATCACCGCCCACTCGCTCAGAGCCCTGCTACCCCGGCTGCGCTTCCACTAGGGCCAGGCTTCCTGGGGCAGGCGCGGCCTTTGTCTCCTCGCCCGGGGTCTTTCCAAGCACAGGCCCCCATTTCGCTGATTGGAGCGTGGCTGATCACAGCCCCAGGGTCCAGAAGGGGGGAGTGGAGGGCAACCTGGCAGAGCCGGCCTGCGTGCCGACAGACGCCCCTTTCTATGGAGCCCGCAGGCTCTCAGGGTGAAGCCCACGCCCTTCTTGGGGGACCATGGGTGACAGCCACGCACTCGAACTGGAGAGAAGAGGACGAAACCCCGCCTACACGGGCAGACGCCTCCCCTCTGACACGGGGGGCGGGGGGGCCTCTGCCGGCCGGCCGCATGCTGGGGCCCCTGCCCCCCACACCTGTGCTGGGGTCAAGTCCACGGAGGCTGAGCTGAACTCCCCCTCCCTTCACCTCCGGCTCCCGTTCGGGCTTCGCTACACCATGTGCTCTCCGGGGCGCAGCTCTGCCCCCCGAGAGGCCCCACGCTTTCTGTCCTTAGGACGGAGCGGCAGGGGAGCCTCCGGCCCTGCTCCCAGTGCCTCGTCCCCAGGGTGAAAAAGCTGCTTTAGAGCGTTTCTGTCCAGAAAGGACCAAAGTCCTTCGGAGGAGACAAAACTCGTCGTCACGAAGAAAAGGCTGTGTCGCATATTTTCCCATTTCCATGGAGCAGGTGCCCGGCATCTCCCACGCGGCCCTGCGGCCGTGGGCTCCACCTGCCACGTCTGAGACCAGGGCCGCTGGCCCTCCGCAGCCCAGGCCCTCACTTCTCGGGGGCAAAGCTTCCAGAAACACCTCTCCTCCGGGCCCTGGCCTTCTGGCCACCCTAATGCACAGCCCACGGCCGGTCTGATATTTTTAAAAGGCGTTGCTCGCCTAAACCACGACCGCTAGGAGAATAATCCAAGAGCCTGAGAGCCCTGCTTGTGTCTGACACGCTTATCCTTCTGGTCTGTGAGGGAACTGCTGACGTAACCTGAGACGCGCACCTGAGGGGCCTCCCAGGACATGGTGAGCTCCCTCCTCGTACAGGTTTCCCTCCCCGCCTGGGACCCCCTTCCCGCCCGCTGCAGCCCCTGCACCGACCTGTCTTTCTGAGAGGAAAGTCATCTTTGGCGTCGTACATGCCCAGGACCGGGTGGCTGTAGGAGACCGACGCCCCGCTCTGGGGCGGGGAGCTCTGGTCCAGGGAGCTGTGCTGCGTCTTCCTGCAGAGAACGGGCAGGACAGAGGCTTAGTGACCCGCATGCACGGGCACACATGGCCGTGCAGAGGGAGCGCGCACGGGAGCCCTGCACAGGTCCCCACGATGCCGGTCCTTCCTCTGACGTGCCAGCCCAGCTCGCAGCCGGCCTCCTGGGCAGACTGGCCTCCTCTCTGGGGCAAGACTGAAACGACACAAAACCGACACTGAACAAGCGAACAGACGCTGACCGCAGCCTCCCCTGCCGGGCCCTCGGCACTGGGGACAGCAGGCCGGCACGACCGCACGCCCGTGGTCCCGGCGCCTGGGCTCTGCCCAGCCTCTTCCTCTCGGGTGTCTCCTGACTGGGTCTGTTCTCAGGCTGGCGGGGGGGGGGGGGGTGGGGGGGGTGTCACCACTGGCCACAGAGGCGATGGTCCTCAGGACACAGGGGACAGAGGGAGACAGGTGGGCTCCAGGTGCAAGGGACACAGGCGTGCCGGACACAGCTGAGACCGGGCGGGGGACTTTGGGGACAGTGCTGGTGACGTCTGGTTCTTGAGGGCAGGAGCCACGTGGGGACTTCCCTTCAGCAGAAGTGCCTTCACGGGGACGGTGGCCCCAGCCATCTCCCCTTCCTTGGGGAGGGAGGGATTGGCAGCAACACCTCTGCCCTGGAAGCTGACTCATGAAATTTACTTGCTTTATGAGGAGCCGGGCACAACGCAAAATCCTTGAAATGGCTGGACAGGGGCGGCCGCCAGGAGGAAGCTGAATGTGGGGATCAGACCTCGGGAAGAGGAGGGGTGCCGGCCGCGCCTGACCGTCAGCAAACGTTCTGGGGGTGCGGCTGCCTCTGCTCGGCCTCACTGGAAGCTCGGAAGGTGTAATGAATTCTGTGAGTCTTTAAACTGTGTGATCTGCTTAATGACTTGAAACGAATTTGCCAACTTACTTATGTGGAATTTGTTAGACTATTTATTTGAATACACAGTACTCCACATGCACGCACCTGGAGTTATTTGAATTAAGAATGTGAGCACTTAAATGCTTACAGGTGGATATTTAAATATTTGAGAGCAAACCGGTGCAGAGAACGTGGTGATCACGGAGCCCAATCCCAGGATCCCAGCTGGCAGCATCATGGGAAGCGTCCAGAGAGCCCCGGAGAACCGCCCTGCCAGGCTGCACACCCCCTCTGCCCAGGGCACAGCACCTCCCAATCAGGACGCACGCCAAGGGGGCCAGGGCTGGGGATTCAGGGCCGGACTGGCCACCCGCACGCTGGCTATGCCCTCTTCGTGTCATGCCGCCAGGCCTCACCTTGGGGGCCCACCCCTGCACAACCCCATTAGAGGTCCGAGGGCAACTCTCTCTGCACCTGACATCTTCAGGCCACATCCTCCAGGAAGCATGGCCTTGGCCGGTTCCAAACCTCTCCTTCAGTGCCAAGTTCTAACCTGGGAAA